ATGGGAAATTCGGTGGGGGAGGGAGACAACAGAGTAAATGAGCACAATAAAAAGAATCCCTCTAATCCCAATGAGAGATGGGTCACAGAGGCTTTAAGAAGCCCACCCCCTTGTGCATAGATCATGATCCGTATAAACCAGCTTTTTTTTCCTCTTTAAATTGATCAATTTGATACAGAACCCCTGCCCCCCAACCCCTCTTTTTAATTTCTCATTATGTAATACCCGCCACAAGAGACAGAATGACAAAGAGGAAAGAAATAGTAATGCACAATGGTCCTGATTTCAACAGGAAGGGACCTCATGTTAAGAAAATACAATAAAGATTCAAACATACAGCATTTGTATGTTCTTTCACCATCTTTTGAACAATCAAAATCATTGATCATTTTGTTTAAAATGTAAAGCAATTTCAATATATAGATTTATATATAAAGCACTCCATTTTTTAAAGTTCATTAAGAGTTCATTATTTGGTAAATATGTAACTGCTACGGATTTAGAAACAAATGTATTTTCTTCTTCTGAAATCCATAACCTTCAGTGCTTATGTTTTTTTGTTTTTTTTCTCCTGTTATCCTCTTTCTCTAAAAACGAACATTAAATGGCGTGGAGTTGGTACTCTGGAACCCTTGCCTTCCTGAGACATGATCCACTTTTTTTGTGTGCAAGATAGTGAACATTTATGTCTTCTTTTCTCTTTTTTTTCAACAAAGGAAATGTTTTTTTGCATTGAAAAAAAAAAAAACAGGCAGTGATAATCTATGAAAGTAACATAGCCAACATAAATAAAAAATAAAAACAAAAACATGACAACACTGATCAATCCCAGAGTTCTGCAAGTAGCACAATAATCTTCATTCCGTAAAGTGTTTTGATGGAAGTATATGTCCTTTAGGATTTTTCTCTTCTCATGACAATCCCCTCGCAAAATGTATTTTCCTTGAACTTCAGAAAAACATGAAATGATTGTAAACTGTTGGTGGCCTTGCACAAAGAAGATCTAGAACAGGTACGAACATTAACGACCAAAAAAAAAAAAAAAACCCAGAAAGGTAGGCATCTCTGAAATGAGTCTTGTAAGAAACTCTTCTCCAGATGTCTATCCAGCTCATCATGGTGTAACATGGGGAGTTACAAGTCCCTCTACATCGATCTATGGCCACAGTTCTTCAACAAAAGAAAAAAAAAATCCCTACATTTTATATATGCTTTTTTTTGTTAGTATTTTGCATTTTTTTCTGTTTATGATCTGAAAAACAAAATGGTGCAATACTCAAAATAATCCATTTCTTTATCATGGATTATTCCACAATAAAAGCCACTATAAGGTAGATAATCGTATTATAGATAAAAATAAAAAAAACACGTTATTTTTCTCAATAAGTCCTTGAGTAAACATTAACACATGAATTGTCACCTTGTCCCCTTAGTACTTTAATATCATGTTGTACGATTAGCTGAATGAGGGGAAGCAGACACTCAGTGCAACTCTAATAACAAAGCTAATAACAAATACGATAACAATACACATACGAATATATTTTTGACTAGCCAACAAAAAAAACTCTAAGATGCTTAAAATGAAACAAAGGCGCAAACAAACCCACTGTAATCACTAGCATACATTGGTTTGAACCCACTCACACAGGCAAATACTCACACAGGCAAATGAACGCATTCATCCGTCATACAGTACACGCAATCTTGTGCAAACACTCACATACAACCGATGTCACTTTGCGGGTTTTTTTTTTTTTTTTGGTTTTATTTATTTATTTTTTTAAACGTTTTTTTTTGTTTGTTTTTTTCAGTTTGAACTGATGTTATCAAAAAGCTTGGAAGTGTATGAATGACAAAATTACAAAAAAAAAATTCACATTACATTATTGGCGCTTCTTATTCAAGTATTTGTGTTTTTTAATTTGTATAATTTTGATATGTTTATGCTTTTTATCATCTAGGTAAATTCATGGAGAGAAGGGAACAGGGGGTTACTCGGGCCTGAAAACCAAAGTAAAGGTAAATAAACAAAAAATATAACCAGTTATATACATGCAAAGTTTTTCAGATGTACATGTATATTAACCAGCATGTGCATATTCTAGCCAGGACCCAAAGAAAGAGGATTTGTGTTTCTTAGAGCTCATCTCCACCCAGGCCCTGTTATTTTGTACGATCGAAGCAGCCTTTTTATCTAAACAAAGTTGCATCTGAGCCGTGGAGCTGGGGTACATTAGTCCAATCAATAAGGCCCAGTATATGCCCACAGTGGAGGACACAGTGGGCACTTGTTGGCTAGCTCGCTAGTCTGCCAGGCAATCCTCTGGATTTTAAACACGTTTTGGACGTTTGTTTTTCGTGGTCTCGAGTACAGCTTAGAGAAAGGCAGTAAAAAAAAAAAAAATATATATATATCTTCAAAAACAGGCAATAGTGATTGTTGCTAGTGTGACTCGAGTGTGGAAAGAAAAATAAAATCTTCCAGAAAGGGATTTTCCCCTTTTAAGACTTGGTATCAACTGGCATGTGCCCCAGGCCTCCTGATACAATAAGTCCACATGGACCTGGACCTGTTTAAAAAATAAAAATAAAATAAAATAATAATAATCTGCACCGTTTCCCTACTATCGGGTCAGGACAGAATTTAATACCATCAATACAGCAACCCCAGAGTCAACTGTCCGCCACTTCAGGGCGTCAAAGGCTTGCAGAGAGAAGCACTTCAGTCAAGAGTGTACAGAATTAAAGTTTCCTTTTTCAACAATATTAATAATAATAATCAGACAAAAACCTTTTTTGGTTTAAAAAAAGAAAAGGAAAAGATGTACCCAAATGTGAACCATCTACAGTGCACCTAAACATTCTGGATTCCCTGTTTAATTGTCAGCAGTCCTCCCAGAAGTATATATTTGATACCCGGGACAAGGTGCTACCCGTCTGTCTTGGTGCCAACCTGCATTCTACCTCTCCACTCCATGTGCTCTTTACAAAACCAAACATCAAAACAAATTTCAAGAAAGAAGAAGTTCCACTCTGATAGATTCATGTCTAGGTTAGGTCTACGATCGAGAATAGGTACATTAGGATCTAGAAAAACAAAACAAAAAAAACAGTGGGACTTCCTGCGAATCCTTCTCAGAGCCCACCCATTTAGCCTCTTTAAAGCCACATCGGATAATGCAATAGCGCCCTCCTCGTAACGATAAAACAGTTTGGGGTTCTCTGAGGCTGCCCTGAGACTGCATGTACATAATGTAAGAGATCATTCAGAGAGTAAACAGTGAGGGCCTGGTCATCGGGCCGGTTTCTTACTTTAGGCCACACCGTAAGGAAGCTGCCTTCTCACAATCACCTGGTGAGCTGAAGAGTGGGCTTGGAGAGAACTACAGATTGAAGGCCGTGAACTGCACCTCTCGGTCGGTCTTTGCATAGAAATGGAGAGCGAGTCTCCGTTATCATTTGCTTTTATTACTGTGAGAAGAGGCGACCAGGTAAAGTAGTGTACTCTGCCTGCCCTTTGTCGTAAGCACCAGTGTGAGTGTGTGGCCTGGTGGGACTGCGACACTGGAGCGGAGGAACGTGCAGAGGAGAGGCAGAACACAAACTGAGCACCATCGACCTACTCTTCGTTTCGCCACTACGTGCACTCCGTCCTCAAAACAACCCATTTCCGTCACTACGAGTGATTCTGGATCAATCGGCGCCGCCGTTTACGCTGAGGTGTGCCTCTTAATCAGAGTGTTTCTGCATATGCGCAGCAAGAGGGGCTGGTAAGAGCAGCTACCATAGAGACCACACACATCAAACGAAAAAGCACAAAATAACGATATAACATTAACAACAGCAACGACGATAACAACAGCAATGTTGACCAAAAAAAACAACACTGGCAATTCCAGAAGGGAAAAACCCAATCGATCGTAAAAGGTACATAAAAACGAACCTGTCCACTTCCAGCTAAAGTGATCTTTGCATGAGAGGGAGAAAGAGTGAAGTTGAGACGAGGTCGAGTGCTGGCGCAGTAGTAGTACGTACTGATTGGCCAGGTCTGAAGGAGCCACTGCTCCGGCCCCAGACGGGTCCGTTCTGGCATCTGGTGCGCCGGCCTGGCACAGCGGGTCAAAAGTCAGAGTGTGGGCACCTGAGGCGCCACAGCAGATAGGCACTCAATGGCCACACTTATCATACAGGTAGGCGGGGCCGCCAGGGCAAGGGGCCCCGCAGAATCAATTAGAAACATTACAACACGTCTAGCATCTCCAGACAAAAGGCTAATGATTTTGGAGTACTGTAACAGTGATATTTACTTTGAAAAATATCATCTTAAAGAAAAAACAAACAAAAAAAAAACACGGGAAAGCTTCAGTCTTGTTGTGGTGTTTTTTTTTCATATCAGACATCCCTTCAATTTGCTACTATTTTCGAAATGTCTGACTTCAAAGTCAAAAGACTGTGGAAAGACGAAGACGAAGAAGAACAGAAACGGCAAAATCTGTTTAGAGTATGGAGGAGAAGTTCGGTAGATTGCTTTTCATCGTTGCTTTTTGTCAGTTTCACATGTCCATGTGTAATTTGTTGGCATTGAAGTCGGAGCTTGACGCTCTTGCTAAGTGCTATGAAGAAACCACGCCTTCTTTGTTCCATACTTTTGTACCAAATATAACAATGGAAAAAAATGCACTTTGTCTACTGGGTTACAAGAAACACCTCTTATTTGGTTTGAAGCCCCTGTTGCACCTGCAGTCACATGTGTCCTTGAGTGTGTAGAGGAAGTGCTTGTGAATGTTTCATCACCATGGGCTTACACACTGAGAGAGTCCTCTTCTGTTCAGTCCCACGCTTGGTGGACATGGCAGGAGACGAGTCTTTGATTCCCCCCCCATCCCCAGGCGAGCTCCTGCCGTTTCACCAGCAAAAAAGCACTGCGTAAAGATGAACAGAAGAATCTGTGGCATATATTGCACTTCAGACGAACAACAATGTGGGCTTATGTTTTGTTTTTTTTTTTGAAAGAGAGACCAAGGTCGTTTAGAAAAAGTAGTCCATCTGAAAAAGTGTTTCCTGTACAGTTTTTCGTGAGCAGTGGTTAATATATTCCTCAGCTGTCCACGTGTCCTCTCAGCTTAAGAATAAATGCTTCAAATGTGCAGAGGGATCAGATACCTGTCCGTGCTTTCGAGAGTTACGAAGACAGGTGGCAACCGAAGGAAACAGGAAGGACGAATGCGCGTACGCTGCGGCTGAGATCGAAACCATGACAGTCCTGGCTCAGAAATGAGAAAATGTGCAATTCTCAAGATGAGTTTCTTCAAAGTACAAATGGAGTGGGACTGATCAGCAGTTAAGGCTAAAGTTTAGTGCTGTTAATTAATCTAAACGATCCAAAGGACAACTGAAAAAAGCCATGGATCCAGTCTAAAAGACAGGGAGTAGGGGAAGTCGGTTTGGAATGACGCACGTTTCTTCGGGGGGAAGAGGACGATATGCTGTGATTGGGCTGACAGGATGTGCTCGTGCCAGAGGAATTTTAAAAAATGGCAGCTTGTCTTGTCGGTTTGTAGTAAAATACACTTTCACACTGGTTTCAGTTATTAGAGAAAAGTCTCGGTAAAGGTTCACTTCTCTTTTAGTCACGGTTCTTCATAAGAAGTCTATAGAATACTGTAACCCAAGCCTAATGATCAAAATAACACAGACGAAGAGACGCAAAACAAAACAAAAAAGTAGAGGAAGAAGGCCAGCAGCCTCTATGCAAGTGTGGCCTCAACCTCCTGTCTCTTGGCTTTTCACAGTTCCACTGACGTTGATTATCGCCAACTGATTTGCTTGGTTTTTGCTCGTTAAGTTTCATATTTCGCTGCGGTTCGGGGGTTCGAGCGCTTGGCACTCTCACATGGACTCTCCACTCAGCAGGTCTCCAGGAAGCAGCGTATTGATTGGGGTGGGGCTGCACACCACTCGGCCGTCTTCGGTGCTGGGCGGCCCCCACAGGCTGGAGTACTGCGGTACACCCCCCCACAGCAGCTCGTTGCTCGCCTTCCCGCCAGACCCCATCCTGCCTGCTCCTCCTCCTCCTCCCAGACTGCTGCTGTTCCAGTGGCAGATGGGGTGTGTGGCCGCCGTCCCTCCGCCCCCCAGCCGTGTGTGATTGGTGCCGGGGTTGGCCTGCCAGCTGGTAGTGGGCGTGAGGGACTGACCCTGTGCAAAGAAGCGGTTCACCTCCTCTTCTCCAGCAAACTCTGCCAGTATAGTGGTGTTTCCCAGAACACACCTGGAAAGCAGGTATTCAGAGACAGAGAACGGATGACTGTGATGATATAGCTGAGGTTGGTTCTTTAAAAAGAAGATATCAGTGAAACATTTACGTACATGTGTAGGGACTTTTGGGCTTTGGCAGCCTCCTCTTTAGAACTGTAGCGCACCACGGCGTTGCCCTGCGTCAGGTTGAGATGGAATGTGATGAGCGGGCCGTGTTGCATGCACAGTGTCCGCAGTGTAGAACCATCAATCTAAATGTCACAGAAAACAAAGAGGGTCGCATAACACTACACATGATTAACCAAGAAATCAAGTCAATGAACATAACAGTAGCACAAGGATACCTGTGGTGTGAGGTTTCTCAGAACCAACCAGCTAGTGCTCCTGCTGGAGCTGTCTGTACTCCATGTGGTACCTACTTAGAGAGAGAAAGAATTCTTTAATGCTTTGATAAACTTTTATAACACAGTCCACTATAACAACCATTACAACATAGTCTAAGCATTAAAGTATCATGTACACTATTCTTAAAAAAAAAACAATTTCATACTTTTGTTCAGCACGACCGCATGAAATTGATTAAAAGTGACAGTAAAGACATTTGTAATGTTGCAAAAGATTACAATTTAGTATAAGCATTAAAGTACACTTAGAAAAAAAAAAGAAATTAATAGTTTAATTGGTAACATTTTATTTTAAGGTGTCCTTGTTACACATTACATGTACTTACTATTATAATAACAATAAATAATAACAATGAATTATGCATAATTACATGCACTTGCCTAAGCCAAACCCCAATCCTAACCATATAGTAAGTTAATTTAGTTAATTAATATTACTCAGTACTTAAATGTATAGTTACACTGTAACAAGGATACCTTAAAAATTAAGTGTAACCCTTTTATTCAGCAAGATTGCATGATATTGATTAAAAGTGACAGTAAAGACATTTGTAATGTTACAAAAGATTTCTTTTGAACTATTCACCAAATTATGTGACACTGGAGACTGGAGTAATGGCTGCTGAAAATTCAACTTTGCCATCACAGGATATTGAAATAAAAAAGTTATTTTAAACTGTAATAACATTTCACAATACTACTGTCTTTACTGTATTTTTGATTCAAAAATGCAGTCTTAATGCGCATAAGAGACTCAAAAACATTTCTTATGTGGAAGGTCACCTCTTTAAACATTTTTTTAATTAAAATTGTATCTCTATTTATTTAGACAAAATAGCATTACGTTCAATATCAACCTAAACCTGAACAGCTTATCAGTATTGACCAGAATTTTACTTCTGGTTCATCCGTTTTTAGATGAACGATGTTCATCCTTCACTATGACTGTATTTAAAAAACAAACGTAAATTTTTATATATTTCAACATCACATTTTTATCCAAATAAAAAAACGTCTGGTAAACAACTGCGCTACAGTTAAATGTTATGAAAGTGTTATCAAGCAACAGCGTGGGAATGTTGATTAACATGCGACATGCGAGACCACAAAACAGCACGCTCGCTACGCCGCCAGAGCCCATGCTCGCGAATGCTTCAACCGTTCCAATCCTCACCTCACCTGACCTCCACATTTTGACTAGCGTTTACACCCACATAAAAGAGTCAACTGACAATTCAACTGCCGTTTCGAAACACCCACACCTTTGCCTAAGAACAGCAGCACAAACACATATCCGCCTGGGATTAAACTGCACCATTTACAAACACACACACACACACCTGAAGAGTAGGAGCTGCTCCAGCCAGCCACCAGGCCCAGGGTGTTTCCGCCCCACGTGGACGAGGGCTTGGTGTTGGTCAGGCCTGGAGGCGGCCGTGCGGGAGCCGTTGAGTTTCGGGGTCCTTGTGGGACTTTCCAAAGCTCGTGAGAGAGAGAAGCCTGGGTGTGCGAGATGGGCCCCGGAGACCAAGTGGACTTCATGTCAGACAGCTTTCCTGTAGATCAGAGAGGTAAATGTGTGAAAAAGGGCAGAGGAGGAAACTAAGAGTATGCCAACTGACATCTTATCTCTTGTTTCTAATTCTGTGCACCCCAGAATTAGACAAACAAGTGGTGAAAGGTGTTCTCACAGCAGTCACAGTCACTGAGGTGCCACCGCAAACAGGAAAGAGAGGGCCCAGGGCCATGTGTTACACTGAAAGAGTTTATGTCTCACAAATAAAAGAGTGCCTTCTCACCACTTCCACCTCACGAAAATCACAGATAGCCGGTGACCATGCCACACAAAGGGCCGGTGTGTGACTAACACCACTGAGGGGATGTACAGATGAATGTAGGCGGGACAGAGCTCTCTACGGGGGACAGGGCCACAATTTGCCCGGTTTACACCTGGTATTAACATGCGTTTTCGTCGATCCGATCACAAGTGGACAGCGCTAAGTACAGGTGTAAACGGTGTGTAAAACGTTTTGAGCTTGTCCACTTTCGACCACATCCAGAGGTCTCCCTTTGTCCACTTGTGATCGGATCGACGAAAATGCATGTTAATACCAGGTGTAAACAGGGCCTTTGAGTTGGATGCACTAGATATACAGTAATGCGACCACCGTTTGGGGCCCCATGCTAGGTTGAACAGTAAGTAGTAAGAAAAGAGTGTGATGAGCAGGACTGAGGGCAGGAAGGGGTTTCTGGGAGTTGTACCTATGCTGTCTGCCTCGGGGGAGGACAGACTGAAAGAGCTAGTGACTGGCCAATCGCTGGAAGGAGGCAGAGCCTCACCCTGTGAGGAAGTTGGGGTGGAACCTACGATGTGTCCCGAACAAAGCAGGCAAGAATTCAAAGTGGAAATCAGAAAAATAACGTACGTAGAAAATAGAAAGAAAACGAAAGAAAAAAACCTACGGCATTCTTAGTGGTTGTATTATGTGAAAAACATTAAGACATTCTAAATAAAAACAGTACTGCAATACGCAATACCTTTTATTCAGAATATATAAAAATATTTAACTAGGCATGGTGTTATGGGATTTATTCAGGCTTTGTGCTTCCAGTGTCATCTGACAGATAATTTCTTTGAGGGGAAAAAGAGATTTGTCCTCTTACCTCCACTCCTGTCTCTCAGCAGGTAGCGGTTCACATCCTGAATGTTGGTATTGATGGTGGGCCCACTGGGAACGCTCCCTGGGGTCATATTGGGGTCAGTCTCAGGGTCAATATTCTGCAGTCCTTTCCAGGGCACTCCTGGACAAAACTCTGGGAGATTTCATACAAATCAGATAATTTTGAGACATTGTCTAACACACACATTAAAAATGTGAGATTTTCTTTGCGCTATATAACATTTATTCAATCTAGGGACTCCAAAACTTTTCCATCAGCTGAAACGGTTTGACCTAAAATATTTACTTGAAGCCCCATTGAGATTTCAAGTTAATATTTTAATAATTTAACAACATATTTGTATGTTCACAGTTCTCTGATGTCGGCTAATGATCACATGACATGCAGGTAAACTAATAAAGCATTTAAACTTTTTTCTTTTTGATTGTTTTTATATTAAAATTTTAACAATTCATTTTAATTTTGATGTTTTTATTATTTGAAAATGTTTTTGAATGCTGCAAAACCACAGTTTTGGAAACCCTGAACCAATCAAAGGTATGTATTAAAAAGAAATATATAAAATAACAGAAAAACATAAAATATTGGATTATTTTCACATTATTACATTCAAAAAAGAATATATTATTTTGTCAAACATTGGATTACGTCCATATTTAATGTGGTACACCTCTACACCTCATTTTGAAAAATATTTATTTTTTTGCAGATGCTACTTGGTTTGATGTTCTTTTAATCTAGTACAATGCCATTCAGTTGGTTTAGAAGTGTAAAAATGTCCAAACAATTTTAAATCCGCTTAAAGCTTTCATAAGCCTACTAGTCCAAAGAGATTTTAGAGTTGCCAGTTAGTCACCTGGAGGCCAGTTGACACTGGTCCCATTGGAGATCTTGTCATTGGTGTTCTTTCCCTGACCCCAGCTATCATGAGGTGCCAGGGGGCTGGCAGGAGACTCGGAGCTGGGAATCAGATTGTAGGGACTGTAGGAGTCATCCAGCGGGGGCTTACTTGGGGGACCCAGACTAGGGCCTGTAGAGATGGCACCTGTATAATATTGGTGATATGGAAAATCATCAGTATCAGGCCTGATATTAACTACTATGCCACATGTTCACAATATGTTCACTGATGACTATAAAAGTGAGGTGTACCATGCTTGCTGAAGTTGGCCTCCATTGGAGAGGAGTTGCCAGAGAGGTTCTCCATGGAGTTTGGGTGTGTCCACTGTGACAGGCGTGACTGAGGCTGAGGAGAGTCCTTAATGGACAGGCCACCCACCTCCATGCAGTTTACATTCATGTTAGGGTTCAATCCAGCTACAGAGAAGCACATATGCAAGAATCAGTGGGGTTGAGAAAATAACTTGACTTTTTGAATTATTTGTTAGTGAATGAGGGTTTTTAAAAATCATTATGATTCAGACCTATTTTCCAATAAATCATTTGGTTTGATTTGTGAACTGGTTTGACAGACTTGTTGGGGAAAGAAATAAAATAAAAAATAAAAAAGATTTGCTCACAAACCAATTCATCTATATCAGTATCTAGCTGATGATACATTTTAGAGCCAACTTGAAAAAATATAATCACTATAGGTATGTGCATGACGTTTTTCAAGACTTTAAAAATTCTGTGGCAATTCCAGGATTACTAGGACTGTGGGAACAATGTATAGAAGAATATTTCGATCTTCACTAGTCAGAATGAATGCAATAATAGACGGTGCTGGTAACTCACAAATAGGGTAGGGTGAGAAGGAGTTTGGAGAAGACTGCGGCTCTTTGGTCTGAAGGTCGGAAACAGAGAGGCTGGAGGCCTGGGGATGGGCTGGAAATGTGTCCAGAGCTGATTTGCCTGCGCTGGGATGCAGGCCCGGGTGTGAGGCGGGTGGCTGCTGCTGTTGTTGTTTCATCAGCAGAGCCTGAGCCAGCTGCCGCTGGTGCTGCTGGATCTGTTGCTGCATGTTATTGATTGTACGTGCAACCTGTAAGAAAACATACTTGTGAACACAGCACACTTTATAGAAGTGTGATATTAGAACTTAAAAGCAAACACAAACAAATCAGTATTGAGAATTGTGAGATTTGAATGGCATCAGGGTGACCCTAAGCTGTGGGAAGGAACTGCTCACTTGCTGCTCTTGCTGTCGGATGGGGCCAGAAACACTGCGCTGTGCCTGCAACATCTGCTGCTGAATCTGTAAACGCTGGTACGCCTGCAAGATCAAAGTGACAAGTTGTCATTACAAAGAAAAATTAGGAGTGAAATTTAAGCTTTCTGACAAATAAAAAACATTCTTTAAATACAGATCAATAAGATGTCGAAAGACTGGCACTTACCAGTTGCAGCTGATAAAGTTGGTTCAACAGGGTCATATGCTGAGGGTTTATTGGTGAGGTTAAAAGTGCAGGGTTGAGACCAATGTTTTTTGCTGCAAACTGTAAAAGCTGTGCTTGAACCTGTCAGTAAACAAAATGGTCAGATTTCATCACTCCCCATATACTCAAGTGGTGAAAAACTATGTGTCACCAAATGAAGTCAGTGTCACAATAAGGTGCTAAACCACATGCGTCTGCTTGCACACCTGAGGGCTGAAAAACTGAGGCACTTGAGCGCGTAGACTAGGCTGGGACGAGTTGAGAGGTGGCACTGACGGCTGGGGAGGAGGCTGCTGCTGCAGGGCCCGGGCTTGTGCTGCTCCGCTACTACCAAACACTCCACTCTGCATCTACACAAACACACACAAAATAACTCTTTCAGAATTGGACTTTGAGGATATGATCAAATCTGTCATCCCCTCATTCTGCCAGTTTAACAGTCAAGATATCAGTATCTTGACAGCCAGGTGGTCGATGATTAACACAATGCTGAAATACAAAATACACATAGATCCTCATAGACCCACCTGTCTGTTGTTCAAGTTTTGCATCGCAACTCCAAGGCTCTGGCCAGGGAGTGCAGCACTACCCAATGGGAGCTTCAGGCTCGGAGAAGGCATAAACGGTGAGGTTTGGGCATCATCTGCTAGCCCAGCATCCTAAGGAGCAGATAAAAAAATAAGTGAATAAATAAACGAGACAAACAAAATCCAGCACAATGTGAAGTCTTCTAGATGCAATAACTAAAATGTACTGACTTGTAATTGTGAGAAGCACATACCTTGTCCAAGAAGGGGGGACGATCTGAGGAGGATTCTTTGGAGATGACTGAAGGCCTGCAGCCCATTGGTTTATTGACTAGGCCGTTGTTGTAGTCAGAGATTCCCATCCCCCGTTTATCTAGTTCGGTCTTCTTCTCCAACAGCGCGCCTACCACACAAATAATATTTGAATATAATATTCTAGCATAGAAGCTCTGAAGGAACTGAAGATTTTGCAGGTATAACACCTACTCATGGCCTGATCCAAGTTCATGTTGTTGCTCTTGAGAGCCTCTTCTGCAGGGTCTCTCTGCAGAGGCAAACAAAAACACAGTAAACACCATTTGTATTAATCCTTATTACAAAGACTGATTTTAATAATCTAAATAATTTGAGCAATTGGATAATGTATAATGTACAATTAGGCAGTCAGTATCGTAAAACTAACCCCAGGGACAACCGTCAAATATACAGAGGGAGAAATGCTCTTTTATGAAAGATAAGCAGTACTCACAGGGAAGCCCATGTCAGTCAGCTGCTTGATGAGACGATTCATTATCCAAGTATCATCCTGTTTGTTTGGGACTTTTCCCTTTAAAGAAAAACACAGACAGATGAGCTGAAGCATGACACCTACAATAAACTTAAGTAGGTTTTTTTTTTTTTTACCTTTGATGGGCCCTTTTTGGGTGGGTTGCCCCAGGAGCTGCAGGAGGAGTTGCTCTCTTGAGATGCAGTGCTGTTCCACATGTCACCCTCATCCTGCTCCCACTGCCCTGCAGACAGGCCCATGTCCTCTCCACCACCCCAGCCATCTTGCATAGATTTGGGGGCTGTAGGAACAAAAACATACATTATTGAAAGTGTCCATAGTAGAAGCACATATAAACATTTGCGATTGGTTATGTTTACAAACAATAGAAATAACTAATTAGTCCTTACTGAGATACCAAAACATGTATAATCCTGTAGTGCATTATTTACAACAACAGGGGGTCCTGCTGTTACACATTTCAAAGCTCTGATATACCACCAGACCGTCGATTTCCAACATAATTCTACTGCAACGAATAACTGCATGTGATTTTTTTTTAAATCACAAAATCATGCAACTAATAATATTTTTACTTTAATAAATATATGTACATTCATAAAACTAACCAGGTTTGCAGGGGGAAGATCCAGGAGGTCCGTTGCCTCGACCATAGACCTCAGGGCCATTATCACCCCAGCCACCTGGGGGTTTACCCCATGCTGAAGTGCCATTGTCCACACTTGCTGCAGGGGCGGCTGCCTCTACCCATGAGGGCTCAGGTTTTGAATGGACATTTGTCATCTCGCCCCATCCTGCAAAGAAATACAGCAAAACTCAGGACAAGTGCACCTTTAGTTTTCACTGCTTCATAAGCCATATACTAAATGCCCTTGAGGCTGGCAACATGTAGTGTATACAGTCTGGTCTAAAAGTTTATTTTCTATTTTGCATTTTTCCCATCCACAAATAATTTTATTAGCATAACAATTGGAGTACAAAGTTGAATTAAAATATTAAGATGAATTTCACAATTTATTAATTTTGAGACTTTTATTTAATTTAAAACTATTTGCAAAAACAAAAGTCACTTTGTAGCAGTAATATTAAATGTCTGTTTAGTTGTTGGCACAAGGGAGATCTGAGGATGCCATGTTAAAGGGGTCATATGATGCGATTTCAAGTTTTCCTTTCTCTTTGGAGTGTTACAAGCTGTTCGTGAATAGATAAGATCCCTGAAGTTGCAAAGACTAAAGACTCAAAACCAAAGAGATATTCTTTATCAAAGTTAAGACTCTGCCACACCCCCCTAAAACGGCTCGTTCTAACACGCCCTGCTGAGGCCTAGTGATACTCCCCACAGATGGCGACCCAACTCTAATTACACACTTCCTCCTGGCTCAAACGCTATGTTGAACTACACTCGCAGACGAAATGTAAATACTATTCTAACATTTCTATTTGTTCTGCTAGCGTGTTCTCTTTTTTTTTCTTCACTTGTATGCCAAAATTATCAAACAAAAGTAGAGTGATACATTTTAACCAGGTAAAGGTCATTGACAGTGTATGTTAAAGTAAAAAGTCTTGTTTCTTACCTGGATTCATAGGGGTTGTTCTATTGTGAGGTGGCCCTGTTTGATGTGGGCCAGCATTATCAGGGGAAATGTGATTATTGTTTGAAATTGGCCCTCCATGGCTGTGGGTCTGCATGGGAGGCTGGTTATGGTGGGGATGATGGTGATGGTTGTTGGGTACATTGTTGGCATTGCCAGGTCCTGGTTTGCCTTGCTTCCCAGGGTTATTCCTGTCCCAGAGATTGACTGTCTTGTTGCAACTGCTTGGGTCACCCCAAGCTGAGGTACCATCATCAATCTCCATCTTACGTCGGATGGAGTGTGGAGAGGGCTCCTCCCATCCAGTGGGCTCTCCAGTGTGGTCAGGTTTAACACCTCCACCATTTCCTCCTACCCATCCAGAGCCACTCTGCTTTACAGAGTTAGGACCTCCCCAAGAACCCATGCTTCCACTGCCACTATTGCCATTGGTGCCCTCCTGGGGCTTGTTATTCCATCCTTGTGATGGCACACTGGAGTTTTGTGCATCTCCCCAGTTTCCTCCTACTCCCGGAGCAGGCTTTCCCCATCTTCTGGAGCTCTCGTTCCAGCCGGTACCCTCTCCCTCCCAGGTAGAGCTGGAGGGACCATTTTTCTTTCCATCTCCTGGTTCACCCCATTCTCCTCCAGACCCGCTTTCTCCACCAGGTCCATTGCCCCATCCGTGAGAAGTTTTGGGCACCTCAGTCCAGCCCTGTGGTTTGGCTTTAGCGTGACTGTCTTCCCATGTAGGAGACTTCTCCTCTGATCCCCAAGTCTGACCACTTTTCTGCAGGTTGCCATCTGGACCTCCAGCTGGGGTACTGCCCCAACTTCCTGGACCACTGGAAGGTTTCTTGTTGCTGGTTGGATCTGCCCAACCAGAGCTAGCTTGTGGTGATGGCATGGTTGTGCCCCATCCAGGTGCAGCTCCAGTACTGGGGCAGGGGCCCTCATTCTTGCCCCCAGAGTCAGGTCTGGATGTAGTGCCAGAGTTTGGGTTGGCACTGTTAGAAGTTGGTGTTGGTCCTACATTGGCTGCATTTGAGGACGAGCCCCAGGCTTCAGTTCCAACGTCATTCTTACAGTTGGCGCGTGCAGCTTCTTCGGTCTCCCAAGAGGTGTGTTGACGCACTGGTGTTTGTCCCCAGCCTGTGTTACATAGAACCCGAGGGTCCATATCCTGGGTAGGCAGAATAGGGGAAGCCTCATCTCTTGATGAGCAGACCCTCCTGCGAGGATGACATTCCATGCTGTCACTGCTTCCCTCACTGGCTGGGGCATTGGCCCCACGGACCCAAGAGTTGAGCTGCTGCTCTTGGGTGGGAGAGCCTGAGGAATCCCATCCTTTGGCCTCACGGTTGGAATGCTTACCCCAGTCTCCAGTTGAGGCAGTTTGTCCCCATCCAGAAGTGCCTGAGGCCCCTCCTTGTCCCCAGCTGCTCCCTGAGTCCCAACCAGAGTCTTTTGAGCCACCACCAGACTTGGCATCTCCATTACCCAAAACAGGTTCTTCATCCCCGTTGACCTGTGAGGCTCCTCCTGGATTTTGAACAAACGAGCCCATGCCTGCAGGTCCAACCCCCCAGTTAGGCAGGCTGTGGCCAGGGCTTCTGGGCTCTTGCTTAGTGTGATTTGGTCCATCAGTGTTAAGGTTCTGAGGTTCGGAGCTGAAAGACACATTCGTGGATGGGGTGGAGTGTGGCTCTGAGGAGTCACTGGGCACAATGCTACCCCATGAGGTGCTGCCATTGCCACTGCCACCATTACCTGCAGAATTTCCATTGGCACCACCTATACTGCCACTGCTGCTAGGGCCCTGACTGGGCAGAGTGCCCGTTGGGCTACAGAGATTCGGAGGAGGAGGGTTGCTTCCTCCAGAGCTGCCGCCACCCATGCCAGTCCCTTCATGTCCCAGAACTGGCCAGGCAGAGGGGTTAGCGTTGGGGTTTAAGTTCAAGTTAAAGTTAGAGGAGCCCCAACACCTGGCTCCCACTGATGTGCTGGAGACTTCATTTTCCCCTTCTCCTCCACTGGCAGGAGACGGGCCAGAGCCCCAGCCTCTGCTGGCCCCACCCTGACTAGAGAGTAGACCTCCTGAGTGGCTGGCATTGGCTTTGCTGGGGTGATTGGCGGAGAAATGGCCTTGCTGGCCAGCTCCTGTGGCCATGCTCATGCTGCTGATGTCACTGATACTTTCAGTGTCCAAGGGGCATCCTGCAGGGGCGTGGCTTTCTTTGCATGAAATGAAAGGCCACGCCTCCGTATCGCGCTTGTCAATAATCAGTGGATCCCAGCCGCTGCAGCTGTTGGTAGAGGCTGTAGTGGCACTGCGATTGGGGGATATATTCTCATACTGGGCTGCCAGGCCACTCTGTGGGGGCAGCTCTACAGAAAGAAAGAGAAAAAGAAAGAGAAACTATTGAAATAATGTGCATGTGACCTATATTAATTTCATTCACTCATATGACCACTCAACACAATTTAGCTTTTATACGCTATGATAAAATACATTATATGTACAGGTGCATCTCAATAAATTAGAATGTCGTGGAAAGCAATTAGAAATATTGCAAATTTTTTTTAATTAGATTACAAAAAGTTTGATATTTAAGAAAATAATTAAATCTATACAAATACAGACAAATGCAAAGTTCTCAGAAGATTTACATTTCACTTGAAAAATTTATCTGAAACATTCATCTAAATGACCATTTAGTGTAAGATCTGGCTAGATCGATCAAAACATATTTTTTCTTGGCTTGCTTTAAGAAAAATTATGCTTTACATCAGCACAATAGCTATGGTCATAACTTACGTAAATAAAAATTTATAATATAATAAAAATGCAGCATTAACAGCATGTGTTGGTTCACATGTATATGCTAGCCCGGAGTCATTATTTTTCACTGCTGTCATCGCCTTGCTTCTCCCAACCACAACCACCTCCCTCTGCTGGACTGACAGATTACAACCACAGACTTTGCTTTCAAAGAAATATGTTCATTCTAAATATGACACATTGATGATAACATTGAAAGCAGCGCAAATGCCCACATATGGATACCAGGATCCTGTTGTGTTAATTAGTTGGCAATGCTGCCCAGCCTCTTGGCACTTGCTCAACTCTGCTGTTGTTGTTTTTGTGTGGATTTACATGAGCAGGCACGGCTCAGTCTGTGTCAGATCTGCGCAAAGTGGCAGCGCCTGTGCACACCAGGCTTTCTGTCACCAACCACGGAAAAAAGCACTTTTAACTAAAGACAAGAAAAAGGAGTCTATGAAAGAGAGGATAGTGTGTTTCCAACACAAAAGCTATCCCTCTGTAGAGTCACTGCGTAGTAAAGGACGCCATTTTATCAAATCTGAACTGAAGCCAAAAAAGCTTAGAGCTGCCGTCAACATCTTACAGTGTCTCGCTGAAGAAAGCTTATCAGATGGCGCAGCAAACCTCTGCCCTGCATTAATCTCTAACATGCAACGCAATAGCTTTAGGGATTTGCGTTTTATTTTGCAGTTATATGAATGCTATGCTTCCAGATCATACAGCAGCAGTACAGCAGAGAGCAAAGCAAGGGAAAAGCCTGTTATCAGCGCGTGGAGGATCGTACTATGAGGTTGGAGGGGGTGGGGTCGCAGAGAAGTGGAAAAGTACCTGAAGAGAGATGTCGCCCGACCATCCTGAGAGAAGCGCTAGGCTGCATGCAGAGCGCTGGCCATCCCTGTTACAATATGTCTGCTGCTCGCGAGGCTTCTGAGGCTCATATTTGAAATGCTGCCAAGGAGCTGCAGCTCAGTACGCGAGCGACCGCCCCGTTCGTCCCACATGGTTTCGGCAGGATCCGATCTCTGTTCCCTCACCCGGGCTTTATTTATATCTACCTCTATTTCTGATTCGGAGAGGAGACTCTCTTGTGAGGGAGGGGAAACAGGGTTGCATGGGAGTTGAAGGTTAAAGCCAAGAGCATTCCGTTGTGCCATTAGGAGGGAAGAAAAACAAAACAAAAAAGAGGGATTCCTTTTCTTGTGTGCGCCTCTTCTCTTTCATGCTTTCAAACTGTCACAAAACATTTAGCCGAGACCATTCAGGCTGCAATTAGCACTGCCGCTCACAATAGAGCGAGCTGAATAGATGCACAAAAGCAAGCCAGCCTCAGAGCATAGGCTGCACTGCAAGGACTGTGCATACACAGAAACACACACACAGCTCCCTGTCATACTGGCTGATTTTAAGGATACAGTTTTCTTGTAATATTAAAAGTACAGTGGGTGTGTGAAGTTGAAGCTCTGCATACCAGAGGTCCGGTCCCAAGTTTAGAGGAAAACAACACTTCAATGGCTGAATGGGAAACAGGATAAACACACCAAATGAGGCTCACATGGAGGCGGGCAGGTGGCCAAGGGCTAAATATCTGCGTAGAGTGTGCCCATGCTTTAATGATGCAGAGGAGAGAGAAAGACGACCGGAAAGCATGCATGCTGGGAGGAAAGAAGGGATGGCTCCAGTACTGGAGGGATAGAAACACTGAAAACGAGATGAACACTTACAAAAGCACACTAGCTCTTGGCATCAAGGAAGGCATTGTTTACAAATGATCCCAGCGCCTCCCATACACACAATACACCAAAGTCCAAAGAGAACAGACTCTTATTATACTCCAACTCAAAGGCAGCTTTTCCCAGCCAAATATAAAATGATGTAATCAAAGCCTCATTATTGATTATTCCCTTGCTTGCAAATGACCCTTTTATGAAAACCTTCAACAAGTAAATTCAAAGTTTCACTACCTAAACAGTTATTGGTTGGTTTCGTTTGTGTCTTTCTGTAGTAACTCTTACTAACGCTGATGATACACGGGGCAACTTTTTTTGAGGAATGTTTCTTGGAAACTTTCCCACTGAGAATGGGTAACAAATTTGGATACTTTAGATCGGTTGTGGGCCCTGTGTCTCACCTGGTTGTCAGTTGACGGCAACATTAACAAAAGTTGCCCGGCAACGTTTCTCAAAAAGTTGCCCCGTGTCTCATCAGCCTAATGGCATTTTTCCACTACGTGGTACGACTCGGCTCAGTACGGCACGGCACGGTTCAGCTCGGCACGGTTTGCGTTTCCACTGCAGTTCAGTACCGCTTTAGAGTGGGCAGGATTATTCACATGTCGTTATAGTTGCGCCGCCTCTACTACCACGACTCCTAAAAAAAAAAATTTAATTCCACGTCGCCCCATCAAGCTCTCCTTGGATCCGCTCCTCTGCCATCAACGAGAGGAACGTCTGTTCTTCTGCAACAGACAACAAAACGTTTTGGTTGTTAAAAAAAAGTGCGCTCGTTCAAAACAGTTGCGTTAGATCCTTCGCTGGCTGTGCTGATTTAAATCTAGCGGTTCTGTTGTGTTTGTGTCGCAAGTTCAGTGACGCAGGTAGTGACGATTCTCTCCGGCCAATCCGTGATCAGCAGAGTTTACACGTCACATTTTGGTAACGGTACGGTTCACTTGGAACCCCAACCGAGGTGGTACTAAAAAAAGTACCAGGTACTGTACCCAGTGGAAAACCCCCCAAAAGTGAACCGTACCGAGCCGTACCGTGCCGTACCATGCAGTGGAAAAGCGCCATAAGAGTCAGAGTGCCAGAGTACTGCACAGGCAACATGAAGGAGTTTACCATCCCTTGTTGGAGACAAATTAGTCCAGACAAATGCTGGACCAATTTATGCCCAGTGAATATTGAGCACTACAAACATCCAAGGACACAGCGACACCAACTATACTCAGATTTCTATCTAAAACAGCAGAACGTGCTTGGAAACACTGAAGAACATCCTTTACAACCATTGTTATTTTTAAATCTTGTGAGAAATATACAATTAAAAGTTGAACAAAGTTAGTTGTGCTAATCTCAAATCATCAAGAGTGTATATGTGTAATAATTCACCCAATAATAAAATTACCTAAAACTAATCTATTCATGTCTTATAAAAATGTCATCTGCACTATTATTCAATTTTCGGTCTATATAAACATGTACTAAACATGTTTGAACTAGGGATGGGTCACTATTTTCGAATATTCGATTAATTGATTTAATAATAGAACATCAAATAGGTTGTGCGATTATTGTCTAAAACATTTTTTTATATTTCCCCATGTTTTCTGTGCTGATGCAGTGGTGACGCGTTAATGTAAGCTGAGGGTGGAGTTGCCAATAACGCACCTAAAAGCTGTCAAAGACAACAGAAGAACACTGTCTCACGCGTACACTGACTGTAGACTTGTATGGCATATAGCGGTTACGGTAACTTGGGACGATGTCAAATAAGAGTTTGGTGCGGACCGCAAACACCCCCGATTGGGTTAGAGGTGTGCTGAATCTGCAGTGCGGTGTTTTTTAACATGTAGCCCTTACAATAAAGGCTTTTTATATTTTGCCTGCTATGTGAATGCCTGGACGTGGATTATTTTTGTTTCTTGCAATGGGATCCACTTTTTGTTTTTGACATTTTGTTCCCTCTCTGGAGCACTCATAGTCTTGCTCGTGAGTACCTGATGTGCCCCTGGTCAAGACTTTTTTCTGTGCTGAATCTGTATTCGGGAAGGCACAGAAAACGAATAACGTGTTCTACGGAGCCACTTAGGGAACATGGTTAGCCGCTTGCTAGCGGGAGCCCGTTACAATACAGTACATAAAAGGTCACTTACCACATACACAGAGTAAGGAGAGATGACTGATGACTGACAAATCGGCGAATGATTTGCGGATCCTGAGCACCACTGACAAAAATCTAATCTTGTAAAACGTGTGGCAAGTACTGCCGCTCCATAGTATAAACAGAGGACGTGTGATTGCGAATCTCGAAAGTGAAATAAAGCAAGTGCGCATTCAAAAGCGATTTCAATGCCCCGCATATTAATAACAGTATAAACTGCGGGCATACCCAACGATATAATTGCGAGAGAAAGTATTGAAATATATTTTTTCCTCCCATCTCGTATTTATTCCCTTTACGGGTTCCTTTTTTTTTTTAATGGAAATGTCCTAGCCTTATGAGCAGTTGATTTATGCTAATCGACGGACTGTTATGTTAACAAGTTCCGTCATTCGGTAATGTTTATTATAGGCTATTAAAGGGGTCATATGATGTTGCTAAAAAGAACATTATTTTGTGTATTTGGTGTAACGAAATGCGGTTTAAAGTTCAAAAAACACATTATTTTCCACATACTGTACATTATTGTTTCTCCTCTATGCCCCGTCTTTTCTGAAACGCGTCTGTCTGAAAAGCGAGGTGTGTTCTGATTGGCCAGCTATAAAGTGCGTTGTGATTGGCCGAATACCTCAAGTGTGTGACGGAAATGTTACACCCCTACCATACTGTGATGCCCTGTCCG